CCACAACGCCTGGCTATTTTTTGGTTGCAGCCGTCATTGTTTGGCAGGTCCGGGCTGGGGATTCGAACCCGCCACCTTAGGTGTGTGTGGCTGGCTCCTTAGCCGGTTGAGCCACAGGCGCCAAGCCTGTTACCAATTCCACTTTTAGGTCTCTGTCCTAAAAACAGTCACATCTGTACCACAGTGATTACAATAATGCTCAGCATGTCCTGTAATAACTGAAAAATCAAACAACCTAAATGGTAGTTGATAGGGAAATGGCGTAGCTATAGTTCATCCATATTTTTGGAATACTGTGTAGCAATTCAAAAGAACATGGAAAAACCTCCCATGTATTATTAAATTTTAAAAGCATATAGACTGTTACGCCATTTACGTAAACATGGAAAAATTCCATTGCCATTTACACATGTATGTGTATATAGATTGGTTTTTTGAAGTCTGGAAGATTACTAGTTTCCTCTGAGGGGAGAGAAAGATGGGGACAGAGTGGAGGGAAAATTGAAGGGAAATTAGCTCTGTCTGTTGAAAGAATTTTCATGAATACGTTTATGTAATGATAAAAATGGATTATTAACAGAGGTTAGGTGGAAAGGACTTGACCTTTGTAGTCTGTATTTAGGAGATGATCACATACTGACTGTTCTGAGGGGTGCTGAAACAAGAGTAATTTATCCTTAGGTCAAGAATTACTGCAGTGGGTGGCACCTGTAGCTCAGTGATAGGGAGTAGGGTGTCAGCCCCTCCAAGGATGGCAGGTTCAAACCTAGCCCCAGCCAAAAACTGCAACAACAACAATAAAAAAAAAAACCAGCCGGGCTTGTGGCGGGTGCCTGTGGTCCTACCTACTCAGAAGGCTCAGGCAAGAGAATTGCCTAGGCCCAAGAGCTGGAGGTTGCAACACCACGGCACTCTACTGAGGGGAACAGAGTGAGACTCTGTCTCTAATTAAAAAAAAAAAAAAAAGAATAGTGAGAAAACAAATGAATCTGTTCAATCAACTTGGCTTTGAAAGGGAAATAAGGGGTAAGTGAAGGGATGTAAGTTGCTGAGAAAATGTTTTTTTTAAGTCAAGGAAAGCGTATGTTAAGGCGCAAGCGCTAGGAAAAGAGAGTTGAAGAGTGGGTCGTGGGAGGCAAAAGAAACAGGAAACAGTGATAAATCCAGGTACAACTGGAGGAAGAGGGATGCCAGCAAGTTTGAAGCAGTGTGTTGCAAGCACAAGTGTGTGGCACTTGAGTAGGAGATGAAATTGCCACAGATGAGAGTAAAAGGAGAACCTGACACGGCTGGGGGTTCCTGGAGAGCTTTTAAAGTTGAATACCCTGACCTCAAAAATGGGATCCATCTGTTCAAAGCTTTTTTCCCACAGCAGTCTCTGGTCTGGACTTAAACAGAAAAATGGGTAAGTTTAGGTTTGGGGTTTTATAGGGAAAGAAAAAGACAGTTATTTAAATGATCTAGCTCTTTTTTTGAAACCTAGTTTTGTAAATAAAGTTTTTATTGTGATATAGCCACATCTATTCATTTAAGTGTTATTGAGTGGTTGTAACAGAAACTGGGGGTCACAAAGCCAAATCTTATTTACTGTCTGGCCCTTGCAGGATTGGAGCCACAGAGCACACCTATAGGCGGAACCTGAGGAGAAGCCACAGTGCCCTGGGACTGACAAAGTTAGAAAGCTGATGAAAGGGAAATTTAGAGAGTCAATTTTTATAAGTAGAGGTTGAGTGAGACCACCTCAAGCTTAGCGATTGAACTTTAGGGAGAGGATCAAGCTGGGTGGTATAGAGATTCAAGTTCAAGTTGTATAATTCTGTGTAGAGTAATGAAGAAGGAATAAGTTTATTTCCTGTTTGCCTCACCCATGTTTATTAATTCAGCACATAGTACCAGCCTACAAACCACTAAGAACATTTGCATGCTGGTTTTCTCCTTTGTTTAACAGTATTATTAAAACTACTCATTTGCAGTAGTCAAGCAGGGTTCTATTATCACATACATGCATCTATTTGTGCATAGAAGAGCGTTCCTCTTTTTATTCAAAGATAGGATAGTAGATATTTAAATCTGCTTTTAACATTGTTTTTCCTTTTCACTATAGGTCTATGAAAACTATCCTGCTTATGATTTAACTGAAAGAAAAGATTTCATAAAAACAACTGTTAAAGAGGTAAATGTTTTAAGTCTTTTCCATGTTTAATCATTTTGGATATATAAGACAAAGGTAATTTTATAGACAGCACCTGTAGTTCAGTGGGTAGGGCACCAGTCACATGCATCCAGGCTAGTGGATTCAAACCCAGCCTGGGCCAGCTGAATGACAACTGCAACAAAAATTAGCCAGGCATTGTGGCGGGTGCCTGTTAGTCCCACCTACTTGAGAGGCTGAGGCAAGAAGAGTATCGCTTAAGCCCAGGAGTTTGAGGTTACTGAGAGCTGTGACGTCAAGGCACTCTAATGAGGGTGACATAGTGAGACTCTTGTCTCCAAAAAAAAAAGGTAATTTTATATTTAAAAAAATATAGTTTTCAAAATATGTCACTAAGCATCCCATTTCGTCCTTAGATTTCTTCATAATAGATAGAGAAATACATTTCATCTCCATTTTAAAAATCTTAAAATTGAAGTTTCAGCAGTTAGTGACAGTCTGAACTGATGAGGAGATACAGTTTCACATCTTACCATTCCACACATGCTGCCCGTCAAAGGTGGGTAACGGAGCATCACAAAGCAGCTCACACAGCTACTGCAGGACAAGTCCCTGTCCACCAGTCAAAGGCAGGGGAAGACATGCAGGCAGCTCCAGTTTATATTGAGCCCACCTGACTTCTCAGTTCGCAGTAGTGAAACAGGTATGGTAAAAATGGAATAGGATTTAGTGGTTTCTGTACATTTAAAATGTTTCTCTTTTATTACAGCTAATTTCTTGAGATTGAAAATATATGACTTGTTTCGATAGCAACGAAGATCTGATTTATACCATTATACCAGCAAAGAGAATGTATTTCCTTTTGTAAGTCCTTGTTAAGCATTGTTAGTAGAACTTACTGTTGACCTTTTTATCTTGAGTGTCACGTAAATAGAAGTTTGCCATTTTAAATTGCATTTCTATGCAGTTTAGTTTAAAATCTTGCATGGCAGTTATTTTTCCTTGCTTTTATAGTTGTATTTTGTACATTTTGGATTTCTTTATATAAGGTTATAGACTCTTGAACTGTTGTGGGTTTTAGTGCACTTAATATTAGCTTGCTTAAGTCATACTTTTAATCAAGTAGAACAGAAACTATTGTAACTGGCATTTATACATGCAGAGTTGATTGCAGTATTTAGTATATGAACTATTTTGGATACATATCTCTTCTGTCAGTGTGAAAACTCAGTGGCACCATGTTCATCCTATTAAAATACACAAACTACAGCTATCCAAATGACTAACTTGGAACTTTTCTCCTGCATGTATATAATGTCAAAATGTCAGCATGACAAAAGTGACAGATATTATTTTTGTATTTTTAAAAACCAATTTGTTGTATATAAAGTTTTTTATTTCTTTTTTGCAGATCAATTTTTTAACTTACATAGGTAGGTATCTTTACAGTTGTAAACTACAAAATGCTCAGTGTTCAGCCAGGCAGTATGACAGAGGAGTGCAAGTTCAGTAATGGAAACACTGAAAGGACAGTCTTCCTGCTTTGCCTCACAAGTGTCATTAATTTGTAGTATTAGTGTTAACTCTGCAAAGTTTTCTGTATATACATTTTTATAGTAAGGACAGACCAAAATCAACACATGTTCAAAAACTTTGGGGAGGGGTGGGATTACAAGCACATTGGCTTACAGTAAATGAAGTGGTTTTTATTAACTCCATTTGCCCATATGAAAAGCTAGTATATTTACAGAAAACCTGGCCACCTTCATAATTATGGTAAAAGTACCAAGTATAGTGCCAGAAGATAATGTACAGGAAATGCCAGGAATCTTTAACAAAGTATTTCTCAAAAGTGGTTAAGATGTTTAACATTTCTGGAATCGGCTGTTGGGTTTTAAATTTTGGCTAATCAGGATTCTGGGTGATGTGCAACCAACACATGGGCCACTCTTGAATGAGATTATGGAAGGGACTGTCTTAATCAGTTTGAGTAATCTCTCCGAATTTTAAAATAACATGCTGCTTATGACAGAATTAGGTATTTCATGTACCAATTAAGTGTTGAAAAATCTGTGTCATAGAAAAATAAGTAAAAATGATACATTGAATGTTAACAGGTATTTTCACAGGTTTGACTTGTTTCTTAATGCAGTTACATTAAGGAACGCTATACATAATACAAATGAATAAAATAAGCAACTGAATGAGACCTATGGATTGGCCTTTGATTTTAAATTTGTTCTTATAAACTTTGTCAATAAAAATAAATCTAAATCAATGGTGTTAAGTCTCTTACATTTGAAGTTTATGTAGCATTTCTCCCTTAAGGATTTCAGGACAGATTTTTAAATGGAGTTATTAGCCCATAGCTTACATGGTGGAGTTCTTTTCAGTGATAACCATTTTTTAAGTGATTTCACAAACTGCCAGATGCAGCGGCTCACACCTGTAATCCTAGCACTCTGGGAGGCCAAGGCAGGTGGATCCTGTGAGGTCGTGAGTTCAAGACCAGCAAGGGTAACACCTCATTCTAAAAAATAGCCAGGCATCATGGCAGGTACCTGTAGTCCCAGCTACTTGGGAGGCTCAGGCAAGAGGATTGCTTTAGCCCAAGAGTGGTTGCTATGAGCTATGAAAACATGGCACTCTACCCAGGGTGACAAAGTGAGACAGTCTCAAAAAAAAGAACTATCTGTCGAGGTATAAAAATTGTTATGACCACTTACCACAGAGTAGTAATGCCTATGACCTAAAAAGCATAAAGAGGGCTTGAAGGTGAGGAGATGGAGTTGGTGATGACACAAGTTAATAAGACAAGACTGATCATCACTACAGTATACAAAGTATATTTGAAAGACAACCCTAGTTTTTATTAAGCAGATTTACATAACTGGCTATTTATTCATCATCTGTAGTTAAAACATTGTAAGTCTGCATTTACTGCTACTCAATTACAAAATCTTCAGACAACATTGAGAAACATTCAAAGTAACTCAAGGAAGTACCATAGTTCCTTAACAAAAATGTTAAAGTATAGCCCAAGACAGGAAATTTCTTTTAAAAATACACGTTTACCATGCTGTAAGTGTTTCCTGCTTGTAGCACAGTACAAGTCCAAGTGCCCAGAAACTAAAGTAATAATTTACTGTGAACCATTTCAAATTTAACATTTTGCAAAATCACTTAACACATGCTATTAAACATTAATACATAATACTTTAAAACAGAATACTTTCCAGTCAGTACCAATGAGTCTCAACAAATGACATGAATATCAGCATTTTCCTGTATTAACTTTGAAATGTACAGTTGTTGGCTTTCTTTTGTATGTAACATTTTGTGGATGTGGGGTATCTAAACACTAAGGTTCACTGCACATACTTTCTGTAAGGTATTGCTAAGCTGGCTTTAATTTTTAAAAATCCTTAATACTTTGAAAAGTGGCTTTAAAATCATTTAGTCCCTTTTTTAAACAAATCAATATAACTGAAAGAACTGTTCTAAGACTAAACAAAAGCATCTTTCTAACCTGCAAACTGAAGTTTCTTGGCAAAATAGGTATCATGAAGACCCTGAAACGAATGATTAAAGTGACATACTAAACCATTTTCTATCTTAAGTGGAAAAGTAAATGCCATGTTCTTAGGCTTTCAGGATATGGCTTATAAAACGTGTAATATTCACCAGGATAGCTCACATTTTTCTGCAGTTTTCCAGTGGACCTGCCTATGGAATACTGTAAACGTTGTGAAAAAATATTCCTAGAGGTTAAATCAGTTATTTTTAAATAGAAGTGGAGGGGGAGGTTTATTAAATTATTCTGACAAGATCTTTTTGCTAGTAGTCACCAAAACTAGAGAGATTTAAAGCATGCCACCCACCCAAATTTGGCTTTAAGGAAAAGGTATATAATCTACATCTCCAGTATGAAGACCACACTAGGTGGGCCTCACTGTTAATGACAGAATGCCTATACTGTTTAGGTACTGAAATTTTGTTTTGCCAATAACTGCACAACTCTAAAATATTTTATCACAAAAGATACCTGAATTTAAATTTAGATCACCCAGTGGGAAGTATGTACAATATAAAATGTTTAGAAGCTTCATATTACTGTCAACTGGAGAGTGCTATTTAAAAAAAGAAAGTTCTATCTAAATTTTTAAGTAAAAGCTCAATGTTGGAGCTATATAAAAATATTAAGGCTCATTGGTAAAGATACTGACAAATTGTCACAGAAGAAAAACATGGCTTTATATAGTTTTTTTAATGGTTCCTGCTTGATTGACTTGGTTTCTCAATGTATAAAAATTTATCAGCCAAACAAAATGTCAAATCTGAAGGGAACCCCTAACCATGGAAAAATCATTTCCAAGGTCTCAATTTAAGTTTATATCCTGCCTTATTCTGAAATCTAGACTTTTTAGCACTAGTTGGACTTATGAGCAATGCAATTAAATATTTAAGTGCCCGTAAGGATTTTTGGTGTCAGTGCTTTCAGAGTGGTGAAGTGGGGTTACATTAGATCACCTTAAAAAACACTTCAATTTTGCTATGCAGAGGTCCCCCCGCCACCCTTGTAACTGAGGTTCAAAATGTGTTTCAAACTTTCCCACTTGGGGTACAAAGATATCTGGGTCCAAACAAATTCTATTTAAAATGCTGCAATCTTGCTTGCTTCTCGAACACCACTCAAATATGCCCCTGTCACAGTTTGTGGAAAATGCCTGTTTGTTGCCTGTTTAAAAAAAAAAAAAAATCATAATTTGACATCGTGAAGAAAGAATTAAGCTGATATCAAAAGGTAATACAAGCTTAGACTTTAAGCTAACCCATGTGCTCATATTGACACTACTCAGCCATCATACCCTGAATTTTACTGGTTATCTTGCCATGCTTTACCAAATTCATTCAACAATATAGTCAGCACTTCTGCAAAGTACCATGGGGATTCATTACAATATTAAGTATCTGTATGTGCCAAGTACTAGGGCTAAGAACAATGAATAAGATAGTCCCTCCTATCAGACAAGTAATCTAGCAGGTACAATCGGAGATAAAATACAAACAATGAATGGCAATTTCTACCCAGATGGAGTTTTGCTAGATGGGTAGAACAAAGGGGTAGAAGCTTAAGTTACTCAAAAGACAGACCAAGGACCTTAAATTCAAGAAAAGAACAAAATGTGAAGGCTGTTGGATTGGGAGAAAGTAAAATGACTGTCAGTGATAACAGAACCTCACTTTTAAGGAATGGCTGTAGCAGGAAGAGAATAGGCAAACCAAGAGGATAGCAAAGGGGAAGCCCTGAATTAGTGGGTAAGTGATAACAGCAAGGTCTAGGCAGGTGTAGTTGAAGTGGAGTCCAGCGGGGCTGAAGAAATTGGAGAGCAGGAGGTGAAATTGGCAGTCCTCTAAATTGAAAGCTGGGATAGAGTGGAAAACTTATTCATGTGCCAGAAGCTCAGTCAGTAGGAATACACTTACTAGCAGGGGAAGAAAGTGGTGGTAAGATAAGCTTCAGAGAAGGGAGTTTTCAAAACAGCAAAGAAAACAAAAAAAGTCCTAAATTATGGTCATGACCCTAAGGCACAAGAGCCTCAAACGGCCATCTCTTGGAAGCAGCCGACATTTCTTGCCTGGCTTGCTGTCTTTATGTCCTTCCTACAAAATTGGCTCTTCAGGGCGGAGCCTGTGGCTCAGTGGGTAAGGGCACTGGCCCCATATACCAAGGGTGGTGGGTTCAACCGGCCAAACTGCAACAAAAAAAATATGGGGTACCTGTAGTCCCAGCTACTCGGGAGGCTGAAGCAAGAGAATCACATAAGCCCAGGAGTTGGAGGTTGCTGTGGGCTGTGTGATGCCATGGCACTCTACCTAGGGCAATAAAGTGAGACTGTCTCTACAAAAAAGAAAAATTGGCTCTTCATAGGCCAAGGAGTAACTACAGCCACCTATTTTGAGATGTCATTCTTTTTTTTTTTTTTTTGCAGTATTTTTTTTTGGGGGGGGGGCTGGGACTGGGTTTGAACCCGCCATCTCCAGCATGTCTTCTTCCCTGCCCTCTGGTCCACGCTAGTTGATCTCTGAGATTACCAGAGAGTACTCCTTTGAGCCACAGGTGCCACCTGATACGTCATTCTTTTATAAAGAAAACCACTAACTCTTACTGTAGATGAAACTACAGGACATGTATACTCTTAAATCATATTCTACTAAGTATGAACAAATGAAAGAGTGGTAACAATTCACTCAAGTTCAGAATGGGGGATTTAGTTTAAAAAAGCAAACCAGTTCACCTCAAAGAATCCTTACAAAATCTCAGCCACTGGAGATAATAAGGAATCATGGAGGTGGAGGGAGAGGCTGGCATGGGGTGAAAACAGGATTGGTTTAAAAAGTGGAGAGGCCAAGCATGGTGGCACACACCTAGCACTTGGGGAAGCCAAGGTGGGGAGGGTTGCTTGAGGTCAGGAGTTCAAGACCAGCCTGAGCAGAAAGCAAGACCCCACATCTCTACTAAAAATAGAAAAAATCAGCCAAACATTGGTGGTGCGTGTCTATAGTCCCAGCTTAAGAGGCTGAGAGGTTGCTTGAGCCCAGGCATATAAGGTTATAGTCAGCTTTTATGATGCATTCTAGCCCATGCAATAGAATAAGACCATGGGAAAGAAAAACTGGAGAGCAATTATGTCTTTCACCAGATTCCCCGTTCAACCCACCACAATGCCTGAAGATCTGACTTTGCAGGGTGAGGCACCAAATAAAATGGGAACTAAGAGGAGTCTTCCTAACAATGAGGCTACTAGAAGCTGAGCCTCTACCACACAACAGAAACTGAATGTTCCCAGATAGATAATGATTGGGGATCTAACCACCCGTTACCAAGCTTGCTGGAGCTTTCACATGACTTTCTAGAATATGTTCTGCTCAAATGTGAAGTGACAGTTGGGGATTTGGATATATAGCAGGCAGAGACTAAAGCACACAAAACAGGAACTCTAAGGAAATCAGGTAGGAAAGGGGCAGGTAAGACAAGTTATGAAACAAGGAAGAAGATGCTACCAAAAAGGAACATTCTACAAACAAAGGGCTCATAAAGGAAAAACCAAAATTTTATAGAAGTCAGTTGGAAGATTTAAAAGCTCTCCCTAGAAGTAGAATAAGAAGAGATGCATAATAGTAAAGAAGAGAAAATCAGATGGTCAATCCATGAATTCCAAGACATGGAACAGAAGATCTAGCAATAAAGCTTTTTCTTTAACCAGATCAATAATAAAATGAAGAAAGAAAACTTTAGGATCCTGAAGGACATGAGTTTCTAGATTACAAGGAATGAAAAATGGCAAAGATGAGAAATCAGTAACAAAACATTTTTTCCACAGAAGTAAATCAATAAAGGAAGAGTGGGTTCTTACAAATAAAGGCCCAATGCTGGAGAGTGGTTTTAAAAAACAAAAAAAAGGAAAAGAAAAAGAAAGACCCAGGAGGACACTCTCTGGTAATCTCAGAGATCAACCAGCATGGACCAGAGGGCAGGGAAGAAGACTGAGAAGAAAGTTCAAAGACTGGAACTAACAGGCCAGTTCAGAGAGATTCACCTGTGACTTAAGAGATGGCTAAAGGGTAGGGAAGACCAAAAGAATTACACTAGTAACCAAATGGGCCATTATTATTGCCAAGGAAACAAAGCTGTATAAGAAGTAGATGATGTCTAACATTAAATGACAAGACAGCAACATACTGTTTAAAAATGTGATGTCATCAAGTCCAGAAGAATAGCTGGAAGTTAAGATGCTGTGTCTGGGAGTATTTGTAGTCATGATTTTCAGCTGTAATTAACTTGTTTTTTAAACTCTGTGTAGGTATCAACGTTAATTAAAAGAAAGAAACCAAAATATGTTTGGTTTCTAAGCCAGGCATAGTAGTGCATGCAAGAGGACTACTCAAGCCTGAGTTTGAGGATGCTGTAAGCCATGGCATTCTAGCCAGGGTAATAGAGTGAGATTTTGTGTCAAACCCCCAAAATACAAGTAGGTTCAGAATCAAGATATATACCTCACCAGCAAAAAAGACAGTTCCTTGTATTTCTTCAGCAATAATATCATAGGCCTCACCACTCCCACCTGTCTTCACAAAACTGTATGCCATCTGGATCCAAGGGTCTGTGCTCCACCGAGTCACAAAGTACTTTGTGGGATCTGGGACCTCCTGTATCCAACAGAAAGGAATTATGAAATAGGGTCAAAAAGGAACTGAGACATGGTATGACTCACATCATATACATCTCCCGCCCGTGGCCCAAGTTCATTCTTGCAACATTCTGAAATAGCAGTTTTCAGGATGCTCCTCCTGCCCCCTTGAAGCCACTGTACCTCACCCTCAATCTCCTGTCCCACCCACCCCCCAGTGACAATCCTCACTGGCATGCTTCCTCCTGCCAGGGACACATCTCCCTACCAGGGGCCAGCACCAATGGCTAAGAGTTCAGGACTTCCCTTTTTCATTGCCTGGCATATACTGGAGAGATGGTCGCCAGGAGTCTGGCCCAGAGAAGAGAAGGGTGGAGTCTTAGGAACACAAGTTGGAATTCTCAACAGGCTTCTCCACAAAACAGTGATACAAAGCTTTGTTTCACGTCCAAATTTAAAATACAGTAGCCTCCCTTTATCTGCAGGGGACACATTCCAAGATACCCCATGGAGGCCAACAGTACTGAACCCTCTATATACTTCGGTTTTTCCTATATATACATATGCTAAAGTTTAACTTACAAATTAGGCACAGAGAACACTGAAATAGAATTATAATGATACACTACTATAATCAAAGTTATATGACTGGATCTAGTAATTGAGATGGCTACTATGTGACTCTAGAGGGTAGAGACACTGGACAAAGAGATGATTTACATCCTAGGCAAGACAGGGCAGGATGGCTCAAGATTTCATCATGCTATTCAGAACTGTGCACAGTTTAAAACATAATGAATTGTTTATTTCTGGAGTTTTCCATTAAATATTTTGGGACTTTGATTGCCCTCAGGTAACTGAAACCATGGAAAGCAAAACCTTGAATGAGGGGGAACTACTGTAATTTTGCCTGCTGGCCTCTGACCAGCATTGCTGTGGAAAATATTCCTATGGCAACTGTGTGCTAAGTTCCAAACAACTAATTTAAAAACTAACCTTTGGACAAAAACCCCATGCAAGTGTCTACTGCGTGATATGATCACATCGCTAGTTAGATCCTTTTGTACTACATATAAAATTGGCAACACACCTGGATGTCCCTCTCTAATTTACATAACTTTTAAGTCACTTCACTTCTATTTTTGCTCCTTTATTTGAAAAAGATACAAGCCATGACCACTTAGAAATCTCCATAGATGGCTTGGCACCTATAGCTTAGCAGCTAGGGCACTGGCCACATACACCAGGGCTGGCGGGCTCAAACCTAGCCTGGGCCTGCCAAACAACAATGACAACAACAACAACAACAAAAATAGGCGTTATGGCATTACAGCAAGTGCCTGTAGTTGTAGCTACTTTGTAGGCTGAGGCAAGACAATCACTTAAGCCCAAGAGTTGGAGGTTGCTGTGAGCTGTGACACCTTAGCAGTCTACCTAGGGCAACATAGTGAGACTCTGTCTCAAAAAAAAAAAAAACAAAACTCACCATCTCCAGAGATGATGAGATTTAGTAAATGGGTTAATATAAAGGTGCTTCTTGGAGAAAAGACAGAAAAGAGACTATGAAGTCAAAGCTTCTAGGGTTTGGGTGAATATAGAATCTACAGAAAATGTCAAGCCTTTTACATCCTTCAGAGAGATATGAGAAGAAAAAAGGAAGACACTAGTGTAAAAGGAAGAGCAGAACACTGTTATAGGCTGCACCGTGGCCCCCCCAAAATCCTATGTTGAAGCCCTAACCCCTAGGCCCCCAGAATGTGACTATTTGGAGATGGGGTCAGGTAATTATGCTACAAAGGGCCTTTGGGGTAGGCCCTAATCTAATCTGCTAGTATCCTTATGAGAGATGAGGACACACATGCCCAAAGAGGGACAGCCACATGAGGACACGGAGAAGACAGCCACCTATGAGCCCAAGAGAGAGGCCCTGAGGAGAAACCAAGTCAGATTGCCAGCCTCCAGAGCTGAAAGAAAATAAAATTCCTATTGTCATCTAGACTCCCAGTCTGAGGCTTAGATGTTGTCACTGCAGCCCTAGCGGACTCCTCTAGGGGCCTGAGTAGAAAGCAGGATGTTGCTTGGTCCCTTCCTCTCAGCATCAATGGTGGATTCAGGCTCCACACCCACTCTGAGAACAAGTGACATGAATAGCAAGCACATAACCTTCCCTCCAAGAAGGGTCTTCTCTGACCTGCTCCTTGAACAGCTCCCGGAGTGTAGTCATGCACTGCTGTAGCACCTGTTTGTCATCCAGGGTCCTGATGGATGCCACAGCCTCCCCAGCAATCACCGACATTAGCACACTGTGCTTCTTCTGGAGGCACGGAAGAGAAAAGCTCTGTATATTTTTTGTTTTAGGTACAAAAGTCTCTAGAGGCTCAGTTCCAAACAGATAAGGACCTAATCCCCACAAACTAAATTTCATTATTTCTGACTGTCCATTATCCTCACAAACACACATTATCCATCCATCCACTCTATCGTTCCCTGCCTGGAAAAACACTCGGAAGTAAAGAGCAAATTCAGGGTTCCCTTGGCTGTCCACTTATAGAAACTTGTTTCAGAAGTAGCTGAGAAGGGAAATCTACAGATAAAATAATGGAAAAAACCCTTCTCAAATGGCAAAGAAATTCTGCCCTTGGCTCACACACATAAAACCTTTTTAAGACAAAGTTTCTTAAATCTGACAGAAAGTAAGACAAGACTGTGATTCTTTTGAGTGGCAGCAATGCGGCAGCAGAGAATCACCACAGCTACCCACTTCCAGAGTTCTCCTTCCCTCTCTCCCACCATCCCAGACCATCCTTCACAGCATACCATGTGACCCTCAGAGAGCAGGTTTCACAGACCTCACTCACTGTGCTGCTGCCAGCTTCCCTATAGAGGAACTCCCCTATCAGCCAAAATAAGTTTCCACAAGCTGCCAACTCATGTCCCAGGAAGCAACATTATTAGTACTTTAAGAAAACACAGCAAATATTGTGGTTCTTGTCCTGTAGGAAAATATCCCAGTCCAAATGTCCCCTCAGAATATACACAGGTAAAGTGCCTCCTGAGTCTGATATGTGAGTACTTGTTAAGCTAAATTCTAAACTTTAAAAAAGGAATTTTACAAATGATTTTACCTGGGGATCCATGTCATAGAACACAGCAAAAAGCCCTCGTTTGCTGGCACTAGGAGGAACGTGACCAAAAAAGTCAGCCCCTTGCACTTTACTGTCCCAAAATCTGTAAGGAAATTGCAAGGCAATCTGGAAAGTAAGCAACAGAAAGATGGTTAAGTATTTTCTCCTATCAAAAGCACAAGCAATCTCTAAGCAACAGCCTGTAGCTCTACTCTAAAACTATGTTCAAAAGCACAAAGCAAAATGCTCTCTCTTTCCATTCTCCTGATCTCCTTTATTTTCTTGGTGAGCTCCTTGCTTTTTATTCTATTCAGTTCTATACTCTCACAGATAAAAATGGGGAGAACCCATTAACAACCTCCAGTCTAAGGCCAAGTGAGGTGGCTCACACCTGTAATCCTAGCACTTTGGGAGGCTGAGATGGACAGACTGCCTGAGCTCATGAATTCAAGACCAGCTTGAACAAGAGCAAGACCCCCCATCTCTAAAAATAGCCAGGTATTGTGGTAGGCACCTGTAGTCCCAGCTACTTGGGAGGCTGAGGCCAGGGAATCACTTGAGCCCAAGAGTTTGAGGTTGCTGTCAGCTATGATGTCACAGCACTTTATCAAGGACAACAAAGTAAGACTGTCTCAAAAAAGAAAAAAGCAAACAACCTATAGGCTAATCTAAAATGGAAATCATTGCTGAGATTTGTTCTTGAAGCATATATCTGTCAATTCTTAACAATGTACAGGTCTACCAGGATCTTCCGTAGCACTGGTAGATTGTGCTAATGGAGACAGAACAAGTAAACCACTGTCCTGACTGGGGCCAAAGAGCTGAAGGTAGACAAGGAAAGCAGAGGAGCAAAAAAAAAAGAATTGCTCATACCAAATTTAAACTCTGAATATAACAAGATTCATTCTCCTAAAGTCAAAACTCACAAACCTCAGCCAGACATCCTGCTTTTCTTTTGATAATGTCCTTTTGTCTTCTCCATGGACAATTATTCAAATGAAAAGGGAAATCTCTGAATTGTATCTGGATTCAAGCATTGCCCATATTATACTCTGATATCCCATGTCAGAAGTTAAAGCTCATTATCCGATATTAATATCTCCAGTCCTGAGGCTGGAGTAATTTAAGTCACCTTTTCAATAATGCCTGCGCCTAAACTGTTGATAGCTTTCATCTTCTTCTCCGACAATGGTGGATTAAACTGAATGGCACCTTTCTGTAGTAAGGCCAGTGGTATAGTGACCAATACCTGTGGGAAATAATGAATAGTTACACATAAACAGCACAGAACCTAATACCACAAGTACTCAGTGAGTTTTTTTCCAAAAAAAAATCACAGTTTTTAAAGACAGTTTCTTATAAACTCTAAGCTCGCTATTGCCAGTCCTGAGACTGTCAACATGACCATGTTATAAGATCAAGGGGCCAGGCTCAGTGGTTCACATCTATAATCCTAGCACTCTGGGAGCCTGAGGTGGGTGGACTGCCTGAGCTCAGGAGTCTGAGACTAGCCTTAGCAAGAGCAAGAGCCCATCTCTAAAGAAAAATAGCTGGGTGTTGTGGCAGGTACTTGTAGTCTCAGCTATTGAGGAGAGTGAGACAAGAGGTTCTCTTGAGCTCAAGTGTTTGAGATTGCTGTGAGCTATGATGCAAAAGCACTCAACCCCAGTGACAGTAAGAATCTGTCTCCAAAAAAAAAAATGGGGGGGAGGGGTTACCATGTGCAATAGTCAGGTTGTTCACTGCACAACCTGCACTGGCTGAGAAGTGGCATTCACATAAAGGCATTTGCATAAAGGGCCTGCTGCCTAACAATGATCATGGATAAAAGAATCAGCAGACCCCAACCCTGAAAAGCAATGCTATAGGAAGAACTAGCCCTAAACATGGAGTCAGGAGAACTCTATCATTCCTTATCCATTCTAATGTGGGGCAAGCCCTACCACTCATCTCTGCTAACCATCTACAAAATGAAGGTAATAAATAGCTGCCCCAGTAACCTTAAAGGATTGAAGTGTAAAACTTGTTATTGTAATTCTTCATAAACGGTAAAGCACACAACTTAGGAATTATTTTAAATGTGTAAGCCACATGCAATTTTTCCAAAGAGAACGCAATTTATTGTAGGGTCTTGAGTGGGTCTAAAAAATCATTTAAAAGGGCTGAAGAAACAGACACGAAGTGCAGCTTTCAAGAATGACTCTCAAAACCACATCACAAAACCAGGCCAAAGAGAGCTGATGTCTCACCATAAAAATCAGAAAACTTCTGGCTCCAGACCACTTCAGCACTCAGAAAGCCATTACTGCTGCTACCAGCTCCTGAATTATACCACATACAGATACCCTGCCCCTTCACTCCCTTGTTAATGACGGAACCCTGGGACCTCTTCCATCCCTGTTGTGGAAAAACCAAACACTTCAACCGCTGTGCTTGTTAGCAGAGGCAACAGGAGTAAAGCAAAAACTATCCTACACCTTCCAAATTGCATGCAGGTGCATTAGACCAGCTAAGCCTTATTTGCATTTAGAACCTCAGCTTCAAAGGAGTCTGGGAAGAACATGTGTGTTTCCTTTCCCACATTTGCAGTCCAGGATGACACACGATGAAGACAATGGGATGGAGGTGAAGACCAAGCACCACATCTCCTCTGGCCCTCAAAGATTTTGTATATTGACTTACCCAAAGCCAATACATGAAAACTTTACCTTTTTTTTTTTTTAATATAAAGACAGGGTCTCACTCCATCCACAAGGCTGCTTTGCAGTGGCATGATCGTGGCTCATTGTAACCTCCAACTACTGGGCTCAAGCAATCCTCCTCTTGCCTTAGCCTCCCTAGGAAGTAGCACTACAGATGCATGCCACTGTACCCAATTAATTTTTATTCTTTTGCAGTTCGGCCGGGGCCAGGTTTGAACCTGTTACCCTTGGTATATGGGGCTGGCACCCTACTCACTGAGCCACAGGCGCCACCCATTTATTTTTATTCTTTATAGACATGAGGTCTTGCTATGTTGCCCAAGCTGGTCTCAAACTCTTGGCCTCAAGCAATCCTCTCACCTCAGCCTCCTTAAGTGCTGGGATTACAGGCATGAGTCCCTGCACCCAGTCTCTAGCACATGAAAACTTTATACAGTATAAAATATGTTCCCTACCCTCAAAAAGTTTATAACCTGTTTAAGATAACAGCCACTGTGCAACAAAGAAATATTAAAAAACTGCCCAAGTTAGATTACATATAAGTGCAAGAAAATAAATAAAATCTAAATGTTTTCTTAATGACAAAAAAAGCTTTCAAAAGCATTAAGAACATGGGCCGGGCACAGTGGCTCATGCCTATAATCCTAGCACTCTGGGAGGCCAAGGTGGGCAGACTACTTGAGCTCAAGAGTTCAAGACCAGCCTGAGCCTAAGTGAGACCCAACACTACTAAAAGCAGAAAAACTAGCCACATGTGGCCGTGGGCACCGGAGGTCCAAGCTACTCTGGAGACTTGAGGCAGAAGGATCACTTGAGAACAAGAGCTTGAGGTTGCTGTGATCTATGATGCCACAGCACACTATCCAGGGCACAGAGTGAGACTCTGTCTCAAGAAGAAAAAATAAAAAGTGCCAAGAATTCGGGTAAACAGACAAATGATATAAATACATCCTAGTATGGAACTAAAAGCTACAGCTCAGTGGAAGCAGCCTAGACCGAGTTACAGTTTGTCAAAAGTTTATCAGTCTATCGTGTTGGATTAGAAATCTTTCACCTCAATGTTTAGGGAACTTCCAACATTAACTGCAATGTGCGCTAGCTATATAAAAAGAAAAATACTTCCTTTAAACATTTTGAAGCACAGCCTGAAGCCATGCCTTGAAATCTCTGGAAGGCTGGAAAACACATGCAGAAGGGCACATGTGCCTGGTGTGAGTAGACAGGGGAAGTACAATGAGACTGATGTCCTGGACACCAAGCAGCAGAGTTTTACAGACACCAGAGGCTGAACTATCCACTGATTTGTAATTTTAAGAAGTAGTATTTTTTAAAAATGGTTACCACTAGAAAGAACCTTAGATAATGCGGGCTTACAGACAAAGGCACTATAGCCAAGGTTCTCATCCAGGACTGCACAGTGCCATCACCTGGGAAGCTTTAAAAACATGACCTTTGCAACTTTGCTTTGTAAGCACCTCCCAGATGATTTGGACACGACTGTCCAAAGTCTCCTGGCTAGTTAATAGTAGGAATAAGACTAGGATACCTCCCACCTCCACCCACTCTGGACTTAGACTGTCTTTTCCACGTGACGTACAATCCTTTATTTCCACATGAACATCAAGGACTATGAAACAAGTTTGAGACAACTGAAGTGTGCCTTGTCCTGTTTACCCACTAAAGCTATTTACAAAAAATTTTAATTTTAAAAAAAGTACTATTGACATTTTTCAAGATGAAAACAGAATGTTCTTGATCTGAAAAAGGATTCTATGGTCAAAAAAAAAAAAAAACATGTAGAGTACAGAATTAATAATAGATCTCTTTAATATAAGACTTTTCAGAGCCTTTAATATGTGTATTTTCACTTACCCCTATATAACTCCTATTTAATCCTACGAGTGTAGTATATATTACTTCCCAAACTTATTTGGCCAAGGAATTTCTTTTCTTGTTCAATTCTCAGGATTAATGTTCCACAAAACTACAGAACTTTGAGGAACACTATTCAGAATTGCATCTGCCACGAATCTGGACAGTGTTGGATTGATTTTAATCAGCTTTGCATATCAACACACAATTAAGTGGAGACATATAACTCCATCAGAAATCCAACAAGGTTCCACAGAACACCAAAGGCAAACTGCTTGGGCAAAAAGACTATTTTTCCTTCCTTCCAGGCCCCTCCAGCAGGGGGCTCTACGCTAGTGGAATCCTAGCACTTACCTTTTGTGCAGAAAACCCAGTGCCATCCATAATGGTAACCTGTACTTCATCTCCAGAATAATCAATACTCTGTACCTACTCAAAAAAAAAAAGATCATGAAAAAAATGAGCGATGGAACCACGTGACCCACAATTCTTCTCATTTCTCATATTATGTTGAGTTTACATCTCCAAGGCTATGGGGAATAATTTCCTGGCATACAGAGTTACAGCTGAACTCAGGGAATCAAAACATCAGATCGTGGAAAATATTTATAATATGGCATAAAATGAAACATATGTATGTATACACATAATATAATCACTTCCATGACTACAACCAGGTATAATACAAGTGCACTGGGACAAAGATTTGAAGTGAAAACAGTGAAAATAACTACATTGGTTGAATACCTTATTATTAACGAAAGCGTGTCTGGGGCACTGTCTCCAAACAGCAGCAGTTACCTAACTGACATGTTTAGTGCACACAGGCAATCACTGCACACAAAAGGACTTGATGATACTGGCTAAACAGCAAAGCCAGCCTTGGCCTCCTGAGTAATCCACATGCCCCAAACCTCACAACCATCCCCAAACAAGGCAAAGCCAGAGACTGCCACCACTGTCGATACTCACTGGAGATTTGAGTCGAATGTCTAGCCCTTCAGCCAATTTTTCAATTATTGCAGAGTACCCAGGAGTTAGGAGAGTGTGGTCGCCAGCAAACTGAGCAAAGAATTCATTGTGGTCCCAGGAACGAGCAGACACCTGGAAAATAAGAAAGGCTGGGAACACAAAAGTTTAAACCCCTGACCTTTTGCCAACAAGAGGAGCTCCAGGTGGGAACAGACACCCAAAGAAGGAGAGCAAGGCTACCAACCACAAGGAGTACATCAGGGAGGTGGACATGAAAGGACCAGCCCAAGTGGACACCACTGTCAGGAGGATATCTCCTGATTAACACACAGGGAAGTTTAAGAACAAAAGGTGTAAACGACTTGAGCCTATGTATCCATTCCCTGATAAAAAGTTGATTTTATATATTGATAACTCCTGCAAAGAAGATTCTATGAGGGTAAAACTGCTCAATGTTATAACCCCATATATAAATATGCACTATTTGTCTTCAACATAGAATTGAATGGAAATGGAGAGGCCTCCAAGGGTGCAAATTAAATCATACATGGAGTTTCCATTCAAAACACAGAATACTGGGGTACAAAGTGCACACCTGGTTAAATGAGTGAGGCTCGAGTTTAAATTTATTTTAACAAGATAAACCAGAATTGCAAGGATATTATATCTTGGCTTCTTGAGAGCAGTGTTTTTATACTCTATGGCAGGCACCCTCAAACTACGGCCTGGGGGCCACATGCAGCCCACCTAGGACATTTATCCGACCCGCTAGGTGTTTCTGCCACCACTGCCTGTCCTGCTTAGCAGCCGACTTGTCCCAGGGTCTGTAGTCCGGCCCTCCAAAGGTCTGAGGGACAGTGAACTGGCCCCCTGTTAAAAAAGTTTGAGGACCCCTGCTCTACGTTTCCACAGACATGACTCAAGGGCCTCTGCACAGAGCAGGGAAAGCAGGGCAGCGGAAGAGCCCCTGTTCTGACTCAGCCCAACTGACCCATTTCTTTGGTTTTACCTACTGAGCAGTTTCATAGGTATTATTTAAAGATTTCTCTTAAAAAAAAAAAAAGTTAAAAATTTAAAAAAGAAAACACTTTGGATATATACTCAGAAGTCATGGGTTTTTTGTTTGTTTTATTGACAGTCTCATTTTGTTGCCCTTGGTAGAGTGCTGTAGGATCACAGTTCACAGCAAACTTAAACTCTTGGGCTTAAATGATTCTCTTGTCTCAGCCTCTTGAGTAGCTGAAACTACAGGCACCCACCACAACATCCTGCTATTTTTTAGAGATGGAGGGGTCTCACTCCTGCTCTGGCTGTTCTTGAACTTGTGAGCTCAAGCAGTCCACCCACCTCGGCCTCTCAAGTGCTGGGATTCCAGGCATGAGCTACAGCGCCTGGCCCAGAAGTCATGGTTTTCAAACTTTAAAGCAGCAAAACTATTCTTACCTGTTCATTCAAACCGAACCAAGTTCAGTATTTATAGACCTAGAACACGCCCACAGGACTAAGCACTTCCAAGCACATGTTTCAGTAAACCCACTCGCACCTGGTGGAGGTTGCTGCCAAAGGCGTACTCCAGGTTGCTGAGATGGAACTGGAGCACCTGCCCCTCAAGCTCGCTGAACTGGATGCCAGACTCCTTGATGAAGGCTTTGTAGATCTCTTCTATCTTCTCTGCAGTGAGAAGGGACCAAAACAGAAACATGGCTTTAACGGGATTCCCTAATCCCTTACCCTTTGCTTTTGATCTTCTTCACCCAGCAAAACCCAAAACTTCTGAAGTCTCTTCCCAAGTAAACTCGGGGGAAAAAGATCTCGATCAGGTTGACAACTCGTAGGAAGCGAAAGCTCATCCTAACCGGAAAGAAAGGTATGCAGGTTCCATATCTGCAGAAATGTCTTGTTTCTTAGTTGAAAACCGTTTCCTCTTTTGCTCAAGATATAGAGAAAGTAGCCCCCCACACACATGTACATATAGAGGATTACCATTCCCTTTCTAGTCCCATGCCATCACCTTAAAGTCAATTCTTACATCTCACCTCCACTAAGAGACCTCTAGGCAGACTAACTACTGGCTACAATTTCTCCCAAACAAGACCATTCCCTTATGGATTTTATCATGTCAGCCCTCTGTCTCAGTATCTTCAATTACTGGTTTCCTACTGCCTAGGTAAATTTCCTAAGCTATAGCTACAACCTACCCACCTACAGGCTCTGAGGCACTACTGCTGAATCTTTTCCTGGGAAATTCCAACCCTGCAGGGTCTACTACTCTAGCTGTGTTATAAGAATGCTCTCCCCCTACCCTATTCTATCCATCCTTCACAGGCCAGCATCACCCTGCTGCTGCAAGCCTCCAAACTCTCTCCCTGTCAGCAACCCCAGCATGTATCTCTCCCATTCAAGTGAACGTGGTAACTATACAGACACAGCCCTGTGATATCATTCCCATTGCTGTCTTAGATCCTTTGTGGGGGGGGGGGGCCTCTGGGAAGTGGGAGATGATTCCAGCCTCGTGTCTGACTAATTGGAAGCGTCCTTACACAGGTTACTTCTTTATAACTTTTCCAGCGATGATGACCATCCAACACATACATCACAGACTCCAAGATTCCATAAAGTATCATGCACTTGCCTGATGACTAGAGACAGAACTGAGTATCAGTTAACTTTTTTTCCACAGCTCAAGGGTCTCACGAAAATTTTCAATTCTTACACTAGACTGTAACATTTGGATGTCCAAGGGACTTCTAGATTTATGCCACACATTTGCTCCTAGATCAAGTTGTGGCCCTTTTAGTATCTTTTGTACCCCTTCCTGCTTCTTGATATGCAACTTCTACTTTCCTGTTGGTTTTGGGGAGGGAGAAAAACCAATATTGCTAGAATAGTATATAAAATTAAGTATAAACAGCCCTTAATGTGATTTTTTTATGCAAATAATTTTTAAAAGCTTTAGCACCTAGACTTTGTGAAATGAAACCTAGTCTCTTAGTATTTGTATTTGAGTTTCCCCAACTTCATGTTAATGAGATCTTAGAGGATGAAATACTAGTATGATGAAATAAGTACACAGTAAGTACTGCTGAGCATCCCTTTTAACTTTAATATAAGGCCTAGGCAAGAAATATCATTACATTTTTTATTTGATGACTGAGAGAAATGTAAAGAAAACCCCTGCCAGCGACTATCACTTAGGTGCAAAACACTAACCAAATTCTGAGAATATCCTGCTAGTCAGTGTAGACACTGCTCTCAACTACAGAAAATTTAAACAACCCATCAACTGGTCTGGAGACTACGACCTTTGATTAAATGATTCCTGGTGACTAGAGTATATTTGTTATGGTGTGTCAGTCAGCTTTAATGAGAGTGATAACAGTGTGGGTCAAGTCTCTTAGAGGATGGCTTGAGGCAGCTGAGGAGGAAGGGAAGGAGAAAGAGTCCCCGCTACTGAGAGGTTTACCCCAAACAGATGAAGTGTGTATCAGTCTGAAGAATTCAGAACACTTGCAAAGAAACATACAGTTGAAGCAAATTAACATCTTGCAAATTAAGCTCAAATGTTCACACTTCAAAACACTCCAACATGCCTCCACGAACTATAAATGAATATATCCAGGTCGCAAAACTGTAGGTTACATAACTATTAATTTAAAAAGGAATAGCAGCAAAATTTCAGCTGACACCTATAATGAGTCATTGGCAATCAAGTTTTCTAAATAGTCGTGGTTTATAGTGTACATTTAAGTACCAAAGCCAAAGATTCTGAATTAAAGTTCTCTAATTGTAAGTTCTTGCATTCTTAAAATACACTGAAAAAACCTCAACCAACCATCCAACAAAAAGAGAAGAAATCCTGACATGTATAAACCCTTATCTAGAAAAGACATGTGATGACTTACACAGTGCTTACCATGTTTCCTTAAAGGGGAGCTTCTCTGGGAGATTTAAAATTAGACATTTAGATAATTTTGCCAAATTATCTACTACTGTGTAAAGTTAAGGTCTGTCTGTGTGCACGTGCAACACAAGCACCTATGTCACCTGAGGCCATTCCCTCCCCCTAAGGAATAGTTTGGAGAATTCATCAGTCCCAAGGGAATGTTCACAGACTATGCCTGCAGCAGACATCCACCCTGGTGAATACACGATCCTACTGCTGATGAAGGTCAGGTTAGAATGCAACGGAGATGGAACAATCAGAACACCATTCTCCCCATACCTCCTAAAGGAACATCTTGGAGCTGAGTCTTATCCTTCCTCCACTCAGAGACAACATCCAAGAGAGCATTAAAATGAAAATCCATGCGCTTGTCAATAGTGGGGTCAGTTATTCTTCCACCTTCCTGAATTAAGTCACATCTTTCTCCAAATTTATGCATGCTGATGCCAAGCTTCAAAAGAATAAGAAGGTGAAAATAATTTTCCCTGGAAAAAATATTTTACAGGTTCTAAGCTGAAATTAGACAGAGCTCTCATGGAGAAAGGGGTCTATTACCTCTCAAAAATAAAGCTAAATGTGCTTCATGGGGAATGGCAGCAAAGTTAGGCAGTGAAAAAAATTGCACAAAATCTAGAAGAACTTATTTTATGAGATTATGAGATGGCAGCAACGGTTTATATGCCATGTCCTCTAACTTTTTGGCTAACGTTTCAGATGATAGGCGCTTGCCTATCCTTGTTCTAACAGTCTGTCTCCTCCATGGACGCTCATGTAAATGAACACACAAACACACAACCACCCACAGAAGTTGAAATTGAATTCACCATCAATAAATGTTTTGGAAAAAGGCTTGGGCCTACCAGGTCCCTCAAAGAAAGTATGTGTAAGGTTGCCAGATAAAAGATAGGCTTCCCAGTTAAATTTGACTTTCAGATAAATAATATACACATTTTGAAGTATAAGTATGTCCCAAATATTGCATGCAAAATATCCCATGTACCATATTTTGTCATGTATAATGCACTCTGGTGTATAAAGCACACCCATGTTCTTGGCCCAAATTTTCAAAGAAAAAAAAACTTTTGTTTTAATTTTTTAATTCAAATTTTTATTTCTTTGTATTTAGCTATTTGCTTCTTATATTACAAAGGAATTTTAGCATTTAGTTTTTTGTATTTTTTTTTTTTTTTTTTGAGACAAAGTATCACTCTGGCACCCTGGATAGAGTGCCATTGCATCATAGCTCAGAGCAACCTCAAACTCTTGGGCTCAAGTGATCCTCCTGCCTCAGCCTCCCAAGTAGCTGGGACTATAGGCGCCCACCACAATGCCACCTATTTTTTTTAAGAGACAGGGGTCTCACAATTGCTTACACTGATCTCAAACTCCTGAGCTCAGGCAATCCACTTGCCTCAGCCGCCCAGGGTTCTAGGATTGCAGGTGTGAGCCATCACGCCTGGCCCAAGCATTTAGTTTTTAACATAAAGTTACACTTTTAATATATAAGCATAAATAAAAGAATTTAAAATGTTTATATGGACTCAGAATTAGTACCATCCATGTATAAGAAGCATCCTTATTTTTTCCTCAAAAATTCGGGGGAAAAAGGTGTGCATTATACAGCAAAATATGGTAATACCTGGTATACACTTACACCAAAAAAATTTATCTTAAAGTCAAACTTAAATAAGACTCCTGAATCTTTATTCGCTAAATCCGCCAACTCTAAAACTATGAGCTAATCAAGTGGTCTGCAAGTAGCATACAAATAAAATTAAAAAATTAAAGATCTTAAGAAAAGGGAAAAAACACTTTATATCCTCTAGTTTCACCTTCTCAGAAAGGCAGAAGTATAATTGATCTTATTTATTTTGCAGAAGGGAGTGTTTTATGTTACCTACTTTTGAAACTTATAAATACTACACACAAGAAAATTGAAACAGGTTTTCTTTTCTTTATCTACAACACAAATCTTAAAGAAACTCACTTGCTCACACATTAGTGCTACCGGATTGTTAATACAGCCATTGACAATCTGGGGTCCCCTTCCCACTGTGACACCTTTAAAAGATTTATCATCCCATACTCGGCCTCCAATTCTGTCTTTGGCTTCCAGGACAGTCACCTAAAAAGATAATCGGGGAAGCTAAGAGTCATATCAGACACAGTATGACAGAAATACAGAATGACACTGTTAAATAACCTCTATATTTAGTTAATTTATTCTATTTCTACAGTAACCACTTCAAAAAGCAAGCAGTATGAACAGAAGCCAAAATAGATGTCCAAAACAATACAGATTCTAACAAGGAGTAACTCAGCAGTCTATTGGAGGAAGTCCTCAACTGTTTCCTCTCAAATCTGATAAAAAGATTTAATGAACAAATGAAATATACTCTGAAAGCTTTTGTAGAATAGTATCCCTTAAGTTTAAAAGCATCATTAAAAACTAAGTTTAAAAGGTTATTTTTTTCCTCTTTGAAATGTCTATGTATGTAGCAAAATACCTTTAGCATTATAAATAAACCTTTACTTCCTAAGATATGACTTTTTTTTCTTTTTGGAAGACAGAGTCTGACTATGTTGCCCTTAGTAAAGTACTGTGCCATCACAACTCACAGCAATCTCAAACTCCAGGGCTCAAGCAATTCTCCTGCCTCAGCCACCCAAGCAGCTGAGACTACGGGCGCTGCCCAGCTATTTTTTGGTTGCAGTTGTCACTGTTGTTTAGCAGGCCCAGGCCAGGCTGGAACCTACCAGCCTCGGTGCATGTGGCTGGTGCCCTACCCACTGAGCCATGGGCACCGCCCAACTATTTTTTTAAAAAAATAAGGTATGCCCTTCTATGTAAGTCTGACCTCACAGGCTGGGCCTATCCAGATTGGTCCCACATCCAGACTATTTCATCTCCTCCAACTCCAAATTTCTTTTCTTTCTTTTTTTAAAACAGGTTCTCACTCTATCATTTAGGCTGTAGTGCAGTCGCATTATTACAGCTCAAGGTAGTCACAAACTCCTGGGCTCAAGTGATCGTCTCACATCAGCCTCTGGAGTAGCTGGGATGTCTCTAAATTTCTAATGTTAGAGGCACTGCTGAGTGGAAAGGCAGTGTCTTATCTGTAGCCTTGGGATTCAAAGTACCACATGTCCCTGAGTTGCATTAATTGAAAATGTGAGTTCCATGCATTGCAATTTCCGAATTCCTAAAAGCACTTCTTCCTTGCTCCAGAAGAGCTCCTATCTCTCAGGTTACTCAGAGGAATCTCTTTCCGAACCACAAGGAGGGTAGTCCCCTGGGCTTTTCTCTCACTTAGGGAGAATGAGAGGAAAGTAACAGAGTCCTCTGAATGTTCTAAAACCTAATTCTTTACTTTCTCTAAGTAGGAAACTTACAGCTCATGGTTCTACCTCCCTACTCTCTTTCTCTGACTTCAATTTTATATAGACCCACTCCTTTCTAGTTTTCTTTCTCATATAAGAGGAAGGCTGAACATTAAAGACAGTCTCCTAGACTTTGTATATAATCTTCTCTGTAATATAATCTGGAGGTCTCCCATGTAAAACACAAACTAACAAAAGACTTTGGCCCTAACATCTAAAGCTGAAATGATCAATTAAAACACTTTCTAGCACAATACCACACACAAAATATTTCAAAATGCAAACACATGTCCTATAATTCCAACTCAAGTCTTCTGTTTTGCTAACAATATAATGTAATCCAAAGTCTGGGTCTTCCATTCAACAAAGAGAAAACCTCTCTTAGGCATAGGTATTGAAAACTTTTCTTATTTCCATAAATTTCCCCACAGAGAAGTTAAAAAGTATGTTTCTTTAAGCCAGAGGAAGAATAGAGAAAAAGACTAATTCAATTCTACCAAATTAATTTACAATTTTGGTTTACTAAAAACTGAAGTTCTTGCAAATAAGTTTTTAAAAAGAAGAAAGGTGGAGGTTGGGCACAGGGGGTTCACACCTGTAATCCTAGCACTCTGGGAAGCCAAGGCAGATAGATTGCCTGAGCTCAGAGGTTTGAGACCAACCTGAACAAGAGCGAGACCCCATCTCTAAAAATAGCCAGACACTGTGGTGGGTGCCTATAGTCCCAGCTACTTGGGAGGCTGAGGCAAGAGAATTACTTGAGCCCAAGAGTTTGAGGTTGCTGTGAGGTGTGACACCACAGCACTCTACCAAGGGTGACAAAGTATGATTCTGTCTCAAAAAAAAAAAAACACGGAAGAAATGTGTTAGACTTAAAAAAAGAAAAATCACAGAAATCTATGGCATAGTTAATCTGAATGAATTTAACTGAAATTAAATACTGAATCACACGTTTTTTTCATCAGTCTCTATTTTGGCTAATTTGAACAACTGGAATAAGGTAAAAGTTTAACCTTTTCCTACTCTGGGGAAGCAAGCCACCTTAAAATATGTATAGTACTCACCCACTTAATTCTATCTCAATCTATGCATTAATTAGTGCAATCTTGCTTCCAAAAGCACAGGTTTTATTTTCCAGAATAAGACTTAATGGGTGTCTCTGACTTGCATAAAAAAATTTAACTGGATATTTCAGGTACTTTTAGAAGAAAGGATGAATTTCTATGCTACTATTTGTTGCCTTAAGGTACTGCAGAAACTAGGGCTTTTTTCTGTTACCTCTTTTATGTTAATAATGTCAATTTCTGCTTTAACACTAAGTCAGAATTTCTTCCAATCTTCTCATAGTCTAAAACTTTCTTCAAAGCTGTGGGAATTTCCTTTACCTTTGTATCAAATCAATTTTGAATTTTGTAACTTTACTAGAATCTAAAGATATAATGTATTTGGCATTTTTCACTAAAAATAATGACTGGTTTCTTTTTCCTTGAGACAGCATCTGAAGCTGTGACCCTGGGTAGAGTGCTGTGGTGTCATAGCTCATAGCAACCTCAAACTCTTGGACTCAAGCTATCTTCTTGCCTCAGTTTTCCTATTTTTCATGGAGATGGGAACTCATTTTTGGTCAGGCCAGTCTCAAACTCGTGAGCTCAAGCAACCCACCTGCCTAAGCCTCCCAGAGTGCTAGGATTACAGGCGTGAGCCGCCAACCCTGGCCCTTTTTTCTTTTAAAAGAGAAAAGGTCTTATCTCTCACCCAGTCTGGAGTACAGTGGTACAATCACAGCTCACTGCAGCCTTAAATGCAAGCAATCCTCCTGGCTGCAGCCATCTGACTAACTGGGATCACAGGTGCAAGCCACCACACCCAGCTAGAAAGTGGTAAGCCTTAGAAAAGTTGGACCAAAACAGCCAACCATCTGTTTCTAACTTAATCCAAAAAGTCCTACCTTAATTCCAAAGTTATGCAGTTGCCTAGCAGCTGCTAATCCTGCTGGACCAGCCCCAACAATGATGACTGATTTCTAGAAAAGAAATAAAATTCCAATTAGAGTAATAACAACACACTGTTTTAGTTGCTCTGGAACTGCCAACCAATGTTAGTATATCTCCATTTCTTTAATATCCTTAGTTATTTCCTAAAGACATGATGGTATTTGTGTTAAGACTTGTGGCACCTTTTTTTTCTATAGTCTGAGAAAACAGTACTTGATATTATCCTTTTGGGAGAGACACATTTCCTGATTATGAGTTTTACGGTGATTATGGGACTTCTACTAGTATTATAAACGGGAACAGACTAGTGTTTGCTTGCCCAGACCAACGGCAGTGCTATCATGAAAGCTACAGTCACCTACATTGTGGTAGTCTTTAGGGAGAAGATAGTGGTCGGCTCCCACGCTGAGAACTCCAGTGTTGATGAGACCTTTTCTTGTCATAAAATAAAGTATCCTTTCTACCTCCTGAACACATCGAATACGCACGAGACCCCGGACAATGATGTGAGGAATACATTTCTGAGGAGTAAGAGCTTCCTGTGTGTGGAAATGAAAACAAACTGTTTAAAAAAAAAACCTCAAGCAACTCAACTCAATAGCAAAAATACAAATAACTCAATTAAAACATGGGCAAAGGATCTTAATAGACATTTCTCAAAAGATGACAAAAGGCCAACAGTCATCCCTCAATATCCATGAGGGACTGGTTCCAGACTCTCCCAGGAGTCCCTTACATAAAATGGCATCATATTTACACCTACATAGATCTTCCCATATACTTTAAGTCATCTCTAGATTATTTACAATACTTAATAGAATGTAAATGCTATATAGTCATTGTACATGTGTATTGTATAGGAAATGACAAGAAAGGCTGTACACAGTCAGTGCAGACAACAACCCATTTTTTCCCCAAATATTTGAGATGTGGACCCCACAAGTACCAAGGGTCAAGTATATCTGAAAAAATGCTCAACATCATTAACTACCAGGCAAAGGCAAATCAAAGCCACAGTGAGATATCACTTTATACCTATTAAAATAGCTATTATCAAAAAGACAAAATGTAACAAGTGTTGGGAGAGAAAAGAACCTTTGTACACTATTGGTGGGAGTGGACATTAGTATGGCCATTATGGAAAACAGTATGGAGATTCCGCAAAAAAAATAAAAGTAGAACCACTGTAAGATCCAGCAACTCCACTGCTAGGTATATATTCAAAGGAAATGAAATTAGAGTGTGAAAGAGACATCTGCATTCCCATGTTCTTTTTTTTTTTGAGAGAAAGTCTCACTATGTTGCCCTCGGTAGAGTGCCATGATGTCACAGCTCACAGCAACTTCTAACTCTTGGGCTTAAGAGATTCTCTTGCCTCAGCCTCCCAAGTAGCTGAGACTACAGGTGCCCACCACAATGCCCAGTTATTTTCTTGTTGCAGTTGTCATTGCTGTTTAGCTGGCCTGGGCCAGGCTTGAACTGGCCAACCTTGGTGCATGTGGCCAGCACTCTAACCAGTGAGCTACGGGCAAAGCCTTGCACTCCTATGTTCACTGCAGCATTATTTTCAAGAGCCAAGACATCAACCATACATAGTATGCTATATACATAATAGACTATTCAGCCTTTAAAAAAAACCTGTCATTTGTAACAACATGGATGAGCCTAGAAGACATTCTGTTAACTGAAATAAACCTGACACAGAAAAACAAACACTACACGCTCTCACTCATACATGGAATCTAAAAAACAGTCAAACTCACAGAAGCATACACTGGAATGGTGTTGTCAAGGCTTGGAGCAGGTATGGAATGATGTTGGTTGAAGGACATAAAATTTAAGTTTAGACGGGGAATAATTTCAAGATATCTATTGTAGAAATGGTGACTATAGTTAATAACAATATATTGGGCTGGGTGCAGTGGCTGATGCTTATAATATGGGGTGGGTGGATTGCTTGAGCTCAGGAGTTTGAGACAAACCTGAGCAAGAGTAAGACCCTATCTCTACTAAAAATACAAAAACTAGCCAAGTGTCGTGGTGGGCACCTATAGTCCCAGCTATTGGAGGCTGAGGCAAGAGGATCTGCTTGAGCCCAAGAGTTTGAGGTTTCTGTGAGCTAAGACATCATGGTACTCTACCAAGGGTGAAAAGTGAGACTGTCGGCTCGGTGCCTGTGGCTCAAGCGGCTAAGGTGCCAGCCACATACACCTAAGGTGGTGGGTTCGAATCCCCAGCCCGGACCCGCCAAAACAACAATGATGGCTGCAACCAAAAAATGGCCAGGCATTGTGACGGAAGCCTGTAGTCCCAGCTACTTGGGAGGCTGAGGCAGGAGACTCGCTTGAGCCCAGGAGTTGGAGGTTGCTGTGAGCATGATGCCATGGCACTCTACCCAGGGGGATAGCTTGAGGCTCTGTCTCAAAAAAAAAAGAAAAGTGAGACTGTCTCAAAACAAACAAGTGAACAACAAAACCAATGTATTGTATACTTAAAAATTACTGAGAGATTTTAAGTGTTCTCACCAAGAAATGATAAGCATAGAAGGTCATGTGTATTAATTAGCTTGATTTAGCCATTCCACAATGTATACATATTTCCGTATTTCAAAATATCATGTACACCATAAATAAAAGTCTCTTGGTTCCTCAAAAAGTTAAACATAAAATTACCATGTAATCCAGTAATTCCACTGCTGGTTATATACCCTTAAGAACTGAAAATAAGTATTCAAACAAAATGTTCATTGCAGCAATATTCAAATAGCCAAAAGGAGGAAACAATCCAAATGTCCATCAATGGATGAACGTATAAACAAAATGTGATACATCCACACAATGGGATAGTATTTAGCTATAAAAGTGAATGAAGTTCTGACACACACTATGATATGGATAAACCCTGAAAATACTATGCTAAGTGAAGGAACCATTCATAAAAGGCCACATGTGATTCCATTTACTGAAAATATCCCAAATAGGCAAATCTATAGAGAAAGTAGATGAATGGTTGCCAGGGGATAGGAGTAGGGGGAAAGAAGTGACTGCTTGGTGGATAGGGGGTTTCCTTTCGAACAATGACAAATTCTGAAACCAGATAGTGGCAATGACTGTATAGTACTGTATATGTAACTAACGCCACTGAATTGTACATTTACCATGGTTGAAATGGTAAATATGATAAATTTTATGTTATGTGTATTTTACCACAATAAAAAAACTCTCAGGGAAACTCAAATATATCATTTATCACTAAGATAAGAAGAACAAAGGAAGGTTTGTACAATGGAAGAAAAAGAAGAAAGGGACAAAAGGAGGACACAGCAATTTATACTTTTACTCATGAGTTTGCCCTCACCAAGACTGAGTGCTGCAAGAAGTGTGGGGCACAGCCTATCACACTCTCGACAAAGGCCCCCACAGAAAACCAGGCTGCTGTTTGTACCAGCAGCAGGAAAAACGGGAGTCTCATGACTGATAAAATGGGAGGGGACTGATTTAAGAACATGAAGGGGGAAAAAATGCTGTCTTTCTCTGCTGACCCACCTTTGCCAAGGCCTTGGCCTGTTTCAGAGACTCAAGTGTAATGAAGCCACGGCTTCAGGCCAGTGTCAGGAAATCAGAACAGGCACCAAGGGGCTCCCCCCACCCCAACCCTCCCCTGTATTCCTGCCACCAAGCCCCAGCTCCACAAGAGCCTAATCAAACACAGGCAGATGACCACACATCAGAAGCATTCAAGAAACAACACTTATAACCATTGGCTTTGGACTGCTGCAGAAGAGAATAAGTTGGTTTGTATTCATGAAGTATTAAAAAAAAAGTAAAGGTCTTTGAATTTTTTTAAAGTAGATCTATGTCTTTCCACTACAGTATTAAGTATACACAATCAATTTTAGCGTCTTATTAAAAACTAAAACAGATTCAGATGGACAAGTTCGAGGCTTTTTCTTTAAAGCTCTTCCCTATAAAGGTCAAATTTCAATGAAGAAAAACAAAACCAAGGCTGTTTCAGAGAAGTATGTCTGTCTTTATAACTTATTTATAGAAATTCTGACCACAATTTTGCTCAATTCAGTAAATGTTTATTGAGCCCCGACTTCAAGTCTGCTGGGCAAAAATGAGTATTTCTACCTTGCCCAACCTGCTCACCTGCATGGAATTCATATAATTGCATTAACAGCCATAAATTAATCAGGTCATCTCATCTAATACCAAACTCTAATCCACTGAAATATCAGGGAGAAATTGGACTATTTTCTTTAATCAAGGCTACTTTTACAATCTTGCACAACATTCTGCATTCAGCAGTGACTCAACTGCTGAAGAAATTAATAAATCAGAAAAATCCAAGGGGTTAAGACTTTTGTTTTTAAGGGAAAAAAAAAAAGGCAACTCAGTGCCCACCCATAGCACAGTGGCTACGGTGCTAACCACATGCACTGAGGCTGGCAGGTTCAAACCCGGACCAGGCCAGCTAAACAACAATGACAAATACAACAAAAAAAATAGCCGGGCATTGTGGCAGGTGCCTATAGTCCCAGCTATTTGGGAGGCTGAGGCAAGAGAATCACTTAAGCCCAAGAGTTT